TCTTCCCTCCCGTGCCCGGGGCCCGGGCCGTGCCCCCGGTGTCCCCGTTGCTGTGTGGGGGGAGCGACCTCGCTAAAAGTGAGCGGAATTGGTGGCCAAAAGGCGTGAGTCTGTCCCTGCGCCGCCGCCGGGAGGGAGGGAGGCAGCACTGGGGGCAGCTGCTCCACGGGCATTTGTTTCAAAACCAGACGGAGCTGGTGTGTAGGTTTGCTGGTAACTTGGAGGGAAAGGGTTAGATCGTTTGGATACAGTCGGCTCTGAAACTGGAATTTGCCTTTGTGTTGTGTTTTTTTTTTCAATTATAATCTAATGTAGTCTTTCGCAGGCAGTTGCTTGGATGAGACTATAGAAGGGTAAACAAAACCTCCTGCAGTCACTGAGACAACTGGTATCATCAAGATACAAATGTTACAAAGCAAAGACACTACCAAGGATCTTTCTTGTTTCATGTAGGTGTCACATTGCTTGAGCAGAAGAACGTTTTTTGGGTACCCTCAGACTAAAGCAGGTTCTGGCCTGGCCCGGGACACTAAAGGTAAGAAAAGGTTTGTTCTGGCTTCTGCCCTGATTCCACGCATAGCAAGAGGTGACATTTGCTGGAGAAACTCGGCATCTCCTCTCCTGCCCCAATCCTGTTCCTCATTCTGTGTTTCTCTAGGTGTTTGTTTGAGGTTCTGCAGACCACGAAGTTCTACAGCAGCTGCTGACACATCTGGAGAAGACACCTTACTCAAGTGGGGCCTTTTCCTGGTCCCTCTGACTGCCTTCTGTCTTGGCACCTGGCAGGTACAAATAAATAATTCATTTTCTCAGAAGAGGAGCACTTGAGGATTGTTAGTTTTTTCCATCTCTGGCTGTTTAATATAGTTCAAATCAGATGCAGGTTAAAGCTTTATTGTTATTTTACATTTCTGTTTTCCAAGTGTCATTCTTAAATCTTAAAGTGAGAGATTCTTATGTTTTACACTTTAATTTCACTATAAATAGTTCCTCAAAGTCAGTAGCCTCCATTTTTCCATCTCCAGTTACCGTTTTAGACCATCTCTGAGGAGAAGCTAATGACAAAGATTTTGAAGGCTCCCTGGGGTTATTATTGCTCTGTCCTACCCTCAGGAATTACTTTTGTGTTTCTGTGCTTTCAGGTTCGGCGCCGAAAGTGGAAATTAGATTTGATTGCACAACTGGCATCAAGAATCACATCAGAGCCCATCCCTCTGACATTAGAGTAAGGAAACTGAGACAGTTTTCTGTCTGGAGAGCTCTGACAAGTGTGCTAGGGATAATAGATCTGGTCCCTGCACTCATGAGCTTAAGCTGAACTAAACTGCATGAAAATGAAAGAAGGCAACAGGAATCAGGACATGTAAATAAGTTGGAAAGCTCATGTTCATTTTTGTATTTTAGATAAGAGAATAATTGCACTATTCCCTATGGGATACTCCAAGTGCATGTGCCAAGACTGAATCTGTTCAGGAGAATGTGGGATGTAGTTCACACCATACATAACTGTCCTGGTAGCTGGTGCCTGTGCTGTCCCCAAGGGGTTATTCCTGCAACAGGGAGTCTTGGATCAGTAGCAGGCCCTGCCCAAGTGTCGAGCAGTTGTACAGGATACAAGAGAGATTTTCAGGTCACTTGGCCATATGGCACAACTATCAGAATGAACAGAACTAATTTCCTGGTCTGGGATGGGAAATAAATGGTCCCTGTTGGCTGGATGCTCACGGAGCGTGTCCACGGCTGTGGTGCCATGGGAGTGGCTCTGGGTCACAGATCTCAGGGGGAAAAAACTGCTCTCTGCATCCTCACCATCATCTCAATTTGGTTCAGTGGAATAGTGATAAAATATTAAGCTAGCTGCTTTCTCCATGAGGTGTTAGCTTTCTGTTTGCCAGCTGGCCCCAGACTGAACTACTGGGTAAAAGGAGGATCCCACAGTAAAACCCCCTCATTTAAGGTGCCTGTTGCAGCTGTGGTTTTGTTTTCATCTTGTTCTGTGCAGCCCCATAGAACTGAGGGAACTGGAGTACAGACCTGTCAGGGTCCGAGGGCATTTTGACCACTCCAAGGAGCTCTACATTTTGCCACGGTCACTGGTGGACCCCGAGCGAGAAGCCAGAGAAGCTGGGAGGCTGACATCCCACCCAGAGCACGGGGCAAATGTCATCACTCCTTTCTACTGCACGGAGCTGGGGTAAGAGTGAAAGTCATGGGCCATCTGAGCAAGTCACTTCTGCTTTGGAAAGCTGAACCACAGTGGCTGGGCTTGTGGAAATGCCTCCCTCTCCCTTAGAACCTCTCACAGTCTGTTAGCTCACTGAGGCTCCATTCAAAATTGTATTTAAATTCCACTCAGGTGACAGAAAAGGTGGCACCAAACAGGGGTTGGTTCTTTCTTTGGTACTCGGTTCTAGGCAGCAGCAAGGATACATTTTACTCAAGAGCTGCATTTCTCTGTGTAACTCTAGGGTCACCATTTTAGTCAACCGAGGATTTGTGCCCAAGAAGAAGCTGAATCCAGAGACCCGGCTGAAGGGACAGGTAAGGGGGATACAGGGAATGTTGTGGGTTACTTTCTGCCCTGGGATTACCCAGAGGCACGACTGACAAACCCAGAAGGGCAGCAGCCACAGTAAGCATCATGGGAGGGTACTTAACAGTCAGTGCACTTCTCAAAGATAAACCTTTTCATCCCACATTTTTGTTCAGTAAATAGTGTTAATTTTTCAAACAAGGAGCTGTTGTTGTTCTGCCTTTTCCCCTGCTGTGTCCCAGCACTGCCCCTTCAGGGCACAAGCACCTGAGCTACCATCAGACCCTACAACTGTCCTTCTTTTTTCCTACCAGAACGTGGTAGACCAGAATATGAAATGAACCTTGAAAAATTCCTTTTTTCTCCTCTGCTCTTCAGATTGAAGATGAAATTGACCTGACAGGGGTGGTGAGGTTATCAGAAACCCGGAAACCTTTTGTGCCTGAAAACAACATTGAGCAAAACCGCTGGCACTACCGTGACCTGGAGGCCATGGCCAAGGTGACGGGGGCTGAGCCCGTCTTCCTCGATGCAGATTTCAGTAAGTGGCAGAGGAACCCAGCCCCACCTCCAGCTTCAATCAGCCTCCCCCCCCATTCCCAGTTACTTGGGTTGCCTGGGAACTTGGGAAGTGTGGCATCTTTTCCTTCATGTGCTCTGCTGGGTTCAGTTTTGGAGGTGATGTGTGGCCAGCACTGGGGAGCAGGAGCACCCCTGCTGGGGTTTGATGCCTTGAGCCACCTGCCCCACAGCTCAGGCTTGGGGAACATGGCCTGAGGAGCAGGGTATCTGCACAACTTCCCACCTCCATCCATGCAGACTGGAGATGTGACCTGTGTCCTGTGTTGTGCCTGCAGGGAGCACAGTCCCAGGGGGGCCCATCGGAGGGCAGACAAGAGTGAGCCTGAGGAACGAGCACATGCAGTACATCATCACCTGGTAAGGCACCCAGCCCTGCTCCACCCGCCTTCCCAAAGCCTTGCCCAGCATCCTTGCTCCTGCATCAGTGAGACTGGATGAGCCATTACCCCACAAAAGCCTCAAGTTAACCCAAGTAATGTTTTCAGTGTGATTTGAAATGGTTTTATTGCACTGCTGGGGAGAGTCCACTCCATCTTGAAAAGAGGTGTAAATGCACAGGTTTGGTTTCTTTCCTAGGTATGGCCTGTGTGCTGCAACTTCATTCTTGTGGTACAGAAAATTTATACAGAAGATACCCCTGTGAGGGGAAGGGCTCAGACCTTCACTCAGGACTTCAGTCAAGAGCAGACTCATCAGTCCTGAATAACTGAACTTTCAGGAGAATATTCAGTAAACTCGGGCAGCTGTTGAGCTGCAAATACTTCAAGCAACTGCTGCACTCGGCTCCTGCCAGGATGATCTGGCTGCAGCTTGGAAGCCTTCAACTCAACTGGAAGATGCTGTTGAGACTTGTAGTGAAGCCCCTCTATCCAGTGAGCTCAAGGACACATTTTTCTGTTGTGGTTGGTTCCAAGTTACAAAGTTTTAACTTCTCCACTGCTGTATTTTCCAAAAGACAATGGATTTTGTGAATCCAAGTTTCTTTGCACCAAGGAGCTACTCCTGAAGTCAGAAGTGGTTCACAGCAGTTGCGTAAGAATAATAAAGAAGAGCTATAGGGGCTTGCCTTGTGACTTGTGTTGTGCATCTTGCATCTCAACAGTGACAGACCTGAATAGAAGGTTCCTCTGGACACTCAGAGCTTTGCAAGAGCAGGGCAAGGGCTAGCAAAACCAAGCAGTAGCTCCCTCAGCTCAGTAGCCTCCCAACAGTGCCATGAGTCAGGTGACCAGAAGGACAAGGTCTAGATTCCTCTCCCACCACTTTGTCCTGCCTTCACCATTCCTACCCTGGAAGAGGCATCACAGATCTAACTGGAGGTCACCACGTGGTAAAGTTTTGTTAACTCAAACTGTAACTTAAGTCCAAGTACATTTAATGGAGAAGATCTGGAGCAATTTCCAGCTGAGGGATATCTGTGTGAGGACTTACTGGCAGGACTAGCCTAGGCCACTCAAATTCATGGTCACAGGATGTGGAGCCAAGCTGTTGTTGGGCTGTGACCAGAGAGGAATGACAACACAGGAGCAGCAGGCAGGGGCAGTTCCAAGCACAGTGATCCCTGCTCAAGGCAGCTGTTTCTCTGCAGCCTGAGCAAATAATTGGATCGAAGGCAATGCTGACTCCCTACCCACTCACTGGAGCCGTCCCATCAACAGAAACCACAGAAACTTCACCTGGGGGTTTATTCCTTTTATGTACAGAAACACAGCAGCCATCCAGCACATCTTTAGCCCAGCTTGGTGGCCAGTTCTTTAGCCTTTGCTTTCTCAAGCTTTGCGATGCGAGCCACTGATTTTGGTCCCAGGACGTTACCGCCCCAGTGCCGACGGATCTGCAAGGAAGCGAGGACAGGTTAGATGTCTCCTGCCATCCCCTGCCATGTGTCAGTCAACGTGCTCAGTCCCACTCCTCTATCCACAAAAAGCCCCCTCAACTACAAGTCTTACACATTCCAAGCAGTGCAGCACAATTTCAGGCAGAGCAAAATCTATTTAAAGCCTTCCCCCCTGAATGATGATGGATCCAGCCATCACACATGGAGTGAGTCCCAGCAGAAGCTGTTGTGCTCTCTACAATCCTAGCCCTGCAATAGCTGTTTCCTTCTAGCTTGGTGAGTGTTCACATTTTACCCCACTCTCAGGTAAAATATATCCTAAGCAAATCAGGTAAAACACCCAACAGGCTTAAAGCTGATGTCACCAGGTCTAAAATAATCTGCTTTTCACTGGGAAGTTTCTGGGCATGTTCCAGTGCAATTAAAAGGCAAGGCTAGCAGAACAGAGCATCTTACCTCATCATATCTGTCATTGTAGTTGGTCTTGACAGCCTCCACCAGCTTTGCAAGGGCTCCCTTATCCTCCCTGTAATTAAAGAGTTTTAGTTCCTTTAGAGCCTCAATTTAACATTTTCACAGATTTTTACCTCTGGATTTAGGAGGTTGTAGTGGCAACATGATGTTCCAGGTTAAGCATAAGCATCATTTGCCAAGAGATGATCAGACCACCAATGCTTCAGGGACCTGCACTAAGGTTGATAGTTGAATTAGAATAACCATCCTTCTTGGTAAACCAAAGTAATCTGAATCTTCAGGATCCAACAGAGCTCTTCACATAAAAGGACATCTATATTACACACTATACAGGCAGCATCTGATTTAGTTTTACTTCTTTGGGGACCCAGGTTTGCTATCCATCCACCCTGCAATCTAAGCTGATGGGCAGTTTCCTTCCTCCACTCCAGTGAATCAGGTCAGGACTCAGAACACTTACGGGTTAACCTGGGTGAAAGCAACAGAGGTACAGGTTTTCCTGTGGACCAGTCTGCCCAGTCTGGCTTTGCCCTTGATGATGCAGTAGGGCACTCCCATCTTGCGGCACAGAGCAGGCAGGAAGACCACCAGCTGAAAGGAAAGGGACCACACTGTGTAAACTGAGGGAGGACATCTTTTTATTCTTTAAATCAGTCCAAGCTGTGGCAATTGCTCAGTGTTAAAAAGCTCGTTTTGCTCTTCACTGTTGATTCAGGTGAAGAAATTCATACATCATTGCAAGGGCCAAGCCTGCCAATTACCAGGACAATTATGAACATGCATAACTATTCCAGTTCTGGCAAATACATCTGCATGCATTCTCTTTTAATGCAAGAAATTTGTCCTGAAGTGCATTTTCACCTGAAGCCCAGTCCTGACCTCAGTTTCTAACAGGCAGGCTGTAACATGTCCCAGGGCATGTGCTTACCTCAATGGGGTCTACATCGTGGGCAATAACAACAAGCTGAGCTTTCTTGTTCTCTACCAGAGTTGTGACAGTGTTGATACCTGAAAAACAATTCATAGGTTAAGTTCTGATTCTACTTAGTCTTTTTTTCAGAGCTTTCATAAAAGCATCATACAACCAGCTCAGATTACCACCAAAAGTTGTGGAAACTGTCCACATCCATTCAGCAGCACAGAGAAGATGCTCCATGGACAATCTGCTAAAGCTCAGGGTTAAAAAGCTCGTCTATTTTGCTCTTCACTTTGAGCTCAGGTGAAGAAATTCATACATCACAGCAATAGCTTGTCCAGTCCTGTTTTGCTGGAGCAGAGCACCAACCCATGCCCAGGTGCCCACAGCACCATGTCTGAAGCAGCCATGTCCATGTCCAGTTACCTGCGCGCAGGACCGGCGGCCGCTTCGTGGGTGCATCTCCCTTTCCTGCAGCCTTCTGCTCAGCACGGGCCAGCAGCCTCTGCTTCTTCTCTTGCTTGTTTTCTGGCCTGTATTTGTGTGCCAGCTTCAGGAGCTGGGTAGCTGGAAGAGAACAGCTACTGGTTAGTGAGTTGTGTGACCTTAAAAAAACCCTTATTTGTGACTTTTAAAGCCTGCAGTGCAACAGCCATCTGGTGGGTGCTGGCAACCTCCTGAGTTTTGGTCATTAAGCAGAGCTTTGGTATTCTCTATTCTCCTTCTCAAGTCACAGAAGTGTCGAGACTTTAGCCAGCAAAGTCCAACAGCAGCTCACTGCTGACACCACCCCAGGCTCTATTAAAGCCTCCCTACAATGTTTCATAGAATCGTAGAATGGTGAAGGTTGGAAGGGACCTTAAAGCTCATCAGGTTCCAACCTCCCTACTGTGAGCAGGGACACCTCCCACCAGACCAGGGTGCACAAGCCTCATCCAACCTGGCCTTGAATACCTCCAGGGAGGAGGGTTCCACAACCTCCCTGGGCAACCTATTCCAGTGCCTTTCTACCTTCAAAGTGAATAAACTCTTCCTCATATCTAACCTACATCTCCTCTCTTTCAGCTTAAAGCCATTACTCCTTGTCCTATCACTGCCCTCTCTGGTGAAAAACCCTTCCCCAGCTTTCCTGTAGGCCCTCTTCAAGGGTTTCCAAGGACACTCTCCAGCTTACAGCGTTAAGACCTGTATCCATTTCTTTCCTCTTCTCCAAAGAGATGATCCCATAAACTACCCAAGAACCCAGGAGAACTTTGCAGGGCAGGTCCTTACCTGTCTGACGGTCCAAAGCCTGAGTGAACTGGTTGATGGCAGGAGGCACCTTGAGGCGTTTGTAGAGGATGGATCTCTGGCGCTGCAGCCGGATGTAGCGCGGCCATTTCACGAAGCGCGTGAGATCCCGCTTTGGCTGGATATCCTGTCCTAAAAACACAGGCTTCAGCTCCAGGCTGTTCCAAACCCCCACAGCAGCAGCAAGGAACAGGCAGGAGTGCATCAGTGATCTTGGTGGTGATCTGTCAGCACCGACACTCAGATAGCAAATATTCTTTCACATCATCTGCACAAGAAGGGCACGGCCGACGTCTGAGCTGCTCTACCAGAGTGCAGGCAGCAGGGCAAGATTCCTCACAGCAGAATCATATCATGAGCTATTTATAATACATGAAATTCAGTAAATTGTCCATAGCCACCTTCATACAGCTGATGAAGGGCAGCTCTTAATTGCAGGCTGCCAGGAAAGCTCCTTCATTGCTCTCCCCACTCTACAGCCTTGTTAAAATACATTTCAGTTTATGACTCAGACATCTGCCCTAAAACACAAAGACCATAAACGTGCAGCTCACACATTCACTTACCAATGCCAAAGTTCTTGGGCCTCTTTTCGAAGAGGGGATTGACAACCTTCTTGGCCTCCTGCTTCTTGACTACAGCAGGGGCAGGTGCCACCTTCTTGCCCTTGGCCTTCTTTCCCTTCGGCTGCAAAGAAATACACTCTTTTTTTTCTCGTGCCTCTAATATTTGTGTATTTAAGAGCGTTGCGTCCGCTCTAGAAATGCATTTACCCAGCCCAGCAGCCTCCCAGCCCAGCTCTTTCAGAGAGAAAACCCTTCGCTTTGACTTTAATAAGTTTATGAGCCTCCCCAAAAAGGACTCGGTTCAAAATCGCGTCTTGCTCTCCTCGGCTAAACAGCCAGAGCAGCGGCCGGTGCTCCCGGACACGGCCATCAGCTGAGACACCCCCCGGGCGGATTACAGACCACCAACCCTGGCCCGGGGCCCGCCCAGCACCAGGAAAACCGCTGTGGCCGGGCCGTGCTGCCCCGCTCCCCGAGCCGGTCACCCCCGCGCTGCGTGGCCGGCGAGTAGGCCCAGACTCGGCCTCCCCCGCCCACGCTCCCCCCCCCCCCAACCAC